ACCCTGTACGCCCCTAAATAATGAAGGAGGTGTTGGTTTTCGACCGTTTCATGAGTTTAACTTGGCTCTCCTTGCCAAACAAGCGTGGAGAATCTTGACCAACCCAGAGGCCCTGTGGGTTAGACTGCTAAAAGGGTTGTATTTCCCTCGATCTGTGTTCCTGGATGCGAAAAAAGGAGGAAGATCATCATGGATCTGGTCTAGCCTTTGGGAAGCGAAGAATAGGATGGAGCATGGCCTCATCAGAGTGATTGGAAATGGAGAATCTACTAGAATCTTCCAAGACCCATGGCTCTTTGCGAGAGCAGGGAATCTCTTCCCGCAACAGACCTCATTCCCGACAACAGTTGACAGATGGATTGATGGGGTTAACAGAGTTTGGAAGACTGATCTCCTGGAAGAATTCCTCCCACCGATGGAGCTCCAACAGGTTCTTAGCACGCCAATCGGCCCGGCAACAATGGAAGACTTCTGGGCTTGGAGGTTTTCAAAGCAAGGTGATTTCACAGTTACATCAGCTTTCCACGCTTTCCACAACTAGATGCGCAGATCCCAAGGAGACTACCAGGAGGTTCCAGCAAGCACCAAGGAGCGGTGAAAATGGCTGTGGAGCCTCTCTCTGCCTCCGAAGATGAAGTTTTTTATCTGGAAGTGTAGCAGAGGAGCACTTGCCACAAAGGAGAACCTTCACACGAGAAGATGCTCACCAACGAAACAATGCCTCCTTTGCAATGAACAGGAAGAGACCATCCACCATTGCCTTTTCAACTGTCCCCATGCAGCGGAAGGATGGAAAGAGGTTTGGCCATCTCTACCTCTCCCACAGCAGACTTCGAACATTCTGGATTGGTTGCACTCCCTCAGGCAACGGTATACCATCTCTTCAATTCAACAGTTCATTTACCTGATGTGGCATACGTGGAAGGCAAGAAATGAATACATCTTCAGAGAAAAGCGGATTTGGCTGCCAGATACACTCAACCAAGCCCTTTGCAGCTATCAACAATGGACCTCCTGCCCCAAAATGAGGAGAGACCCCCATCATCACCCTCAGACTTCTCCAGCCCCGGAGCAGTCTTCACCACCGCCAGTTACTCATGATTTTGATATACACTGTGATGGATCGTTCCTACACGATTCCCAGGAGGCGGCTTATGGCGTTGTCATTTCAAACAACCATGGTCAAGTTTGCAACGGGAAGGCTGAGACCCTACACTGTTTTTCTCCACTTGAAGTGGAAGCCAAGGCCCTCCTGGAGGGAACTCGATTTGCTGTCCACCTTAACTCTTTCTGTCCCATCCGCTCAGACTGCCTTACCCTGGTTCGTGCAGTGCAAGGAGCCCCTGAGCCGTGGCCCTGGCGTGCTGCGGCATGGATTGGAACCATCAGACATATTTGTCGTTCCTTTCCTCGGATTAGTATCAAGTTTTTCAGTAGAAAGCTCAACTCAAAAGCAAACTGGGTGGCTAGGTCCTGTGCCAGGAACCAACTGCCCCCAGATTGGATTAATATCCTTGAGATTGTAGCTCCTCTTTTGTAACCAGTGGTTTCTTCCACAGCAAGTTATGGAAAAAAGTGTTTTACTGTAAAAAATAACCTTTCCTCTTCTCCTCTTTCCTCTCTCTCTGTCTCGAGTCTTCTTTCTTCCTTTTTTTTCATCAACGAACAGATCACTTATCTTCTCTCTTCCCTTTTTATTTTTGGAAGAATGCTGATGCTGCTTCACTCACTTGGATCGCTCGATCCGTGAGCTAACGACACTCTATTGATGGCGACTATGATGCAGACGCAGAGGACACTGTCGATGGTGCTGCAATGCAATTGCGATGTTCGGTGGAGAAGGGAGAAATTCATTGGCAAACATCGCTGCCGGTGAAATTGGAAGGCGAACGTGGACGGTCTGGGTTCGTTGGGGTAGAGGAAGGAAATCTGCATGTTTGTGGCTTGACCTGGGTTTCGTAGGGTAGGGGGGTTGATTGTTTGATTTAGGGGAAATCTGATTGTTTGAATCAGAGGTTTTAGCGTTTGATTTATGGGTTCTTTGGATGGTCAATCATGATGTTTGCTTTGTTGTGTGTGGGCATATAGGAGAAGGAGAAGAAGTTGTAATTGGGTTTTTCTTCCTTCTTCCTATATGAACGGTGGTGACTACAGACGAGGCGGTGCGATAGAGATGGTGGTCGGATTCCCACTTCCTCGACAAGTCGGGCGGTGTCAGAATTCCTTCTTCCTCGTCAAGTCGGGCGGGTCAGATTGACAACCAAGGGTATTTTGGGTATGAAAAAAAGAAATATATTAATTATCTTTTTTTGTATTAATCAGATTGGGAATTTAAAACTCATATTAAATATAATTTTTTTAAAAAATTTAATCCTATACATTAATATCTCTATCTATCTCTCTCTTCCTTTCTCCGGCGGCCACTCAGCCCCTCCGTTTCGACGAACAGACTTTTTCTCCGGCGAATTCTCTCCGGCGAATTCTCTCCGGCAACCTGAAAAAATGTACCAGTGCGTTTAAAAGTGTACCAATCTATTAGTCTACTGGTAATTAATATACCAGTGTTAGTGGTACGCTACTAGTGCGTTAAAAAATGTACCAGTGCTAGTGGTACGCTACCAGTGCTAGTGATACGCTACCAGTGCTAGTGGTACGATACCATTACCACTTGTAGCGGTACCATTAGTAGTACCAGTACCACTAGTAGCGGTACCATTAGCAGTACCAGTACCACTAGCAGCGCTACCAGTAACAGTACCACTGGTAGAGGTACCATTGCCACTGGTAGCGGTACCATTGCCACTGGTAGCGGTACCATTGTCACTGATAGCGTACCACTAGAGACTAGCACAAAAAAATCAGATCTGAAATATGAAACATCACAGATCTGGAAAAAAAATTAGGGATGACGAAAGGGGGAGGTAGGGGAGAGGCGGTGACCTCGTGGCGACGGTGGTGGTGGGAGACAGAGGGCGGCGGGAGGGTTGCGACGACGGTGGTGGTGGGAGGAAGAGGCTGCAATGGCTACGGGGCGAGGGATGTGAAAGTGCTGGAAGACGGAGGACGCGGCGACGGGAGGGTAGCAGCAGTGATGAGAGGCGGAGGGCGTGGCGGGTCGGCATGACGATTGCGACGACGGTGGTGGCAGCCGATAGAGAGAGGGAAGAGATGGGAGGAAGAAGAAGAAGAATAGGAAGAAGAAAGATGGCGTGAGAGAGAGAGAGAGAGAGTAAAGAGAGAATGTAGGGTTTTAGGTATTAATAGGGGTAATAATCTAGTGTGGTCAATTTTTTGTCCAAAAACCCTTAATCCAATCTGTACCATTGATTTGAAAGAAGAAAAAAAAGACAAGAGAGAGAATGGATCCTATGGTTATAAAATGGGTTGTCAACCTCACAACACCCTAATAGGGTTGTCACCGTATCTCATCCCGTCGGGCGGGGTTGGATTCCTTTTTCCTCGTCAAGTCGGTCGGATTTCTTTCTTGTTCTAGAAATTTCTGGTCAGACGAGTAAGAGAGGAAGTCGGAGAAGGGTAAACTAATGAGGGCAAACATGTACTTTTAGAAAATACCTCATTTCAATTGTCTCATGTCAAGTAACTAACCAAACAAGCCAATTATGTACAAATTTCTCATACAATTACCTCATTTTCTAAAATGAGACACTTGAGTCAAATTATCTCATTTTGGAAATGATCCATCCAAACGATCCTAAAGTAGATTTTCTCTTGGTTCTGTCGATTTCTTGAGGCCGCTTTCTATCTTATGAAATTTCTCATGTAATTGGTACCATTGAAATGAATAGAAATTGCAGTTGACTGAATAAAATGCTTTATCAAGTCAACTTTGTAATCCACCGTCATCATATCTTGTGGCATCACAATGTTGTCCACCATCCTCGTATCCTTAATGAATGCATATTTATTTTGGCTAATAACACTAGACAAAATCATTCTATAACGAGTTATCAAAATCTTTGAATATGTTGTACATCTCATTGAGTTAGTCATCTAACATTGAATTTTTGTTTCTTTTTTCAGTTTTAATTTACATAAAATTTCAATTTACTTTATCTAACTTTCATATTTATGTCTCTTTGAAAAAAAAATTTTACTTAGATTAATTAAGATTTATAGCTTTTCATTTTAATTTTTAATGATTATTTTGGATGTATAACGAGTAAATAATTTTACTAGACAATTTGCATTGATACATTAATTTTTTGGTAATTAACTATTTTGTTTCAAAATAACATGATATATTCGTTTATCTTTTAATTTGAATGAATCTAATTATCTTAAAAAGTGTATTGAGCGTTCATTATAATAAGATTAAAAATAAATTTATTTTCTTAATATAGGTAAATTATTTATGTTTCTTTCTTTTTCACTTCTTCAATAATACAAAAAAATATTCCCTCCCTCCTCCCCGAACCTCAAATCCTGGTTCCGTCCTGATGGTACCTATCATGAAACAAGCTCTGCAACCTGCTATAATATCCTTACCATTTATAAGCCAACACTTCACATAGAACCCATTTGTGAACCCATCTAGATCAGGGGCATGATGTACATCTGTTGGGGGAGTAAGTATGGGCCAGAGATCGACCCAAAAAGGGAAGGCCCAAAGAAGAGTGTTAGATGGGCACAGACTGGGGCCCAACTGGAGAAACCTAAAGAAGCCCAGGGGGCAAGAATCGTGGGCTAATAGGCGCGCGGAGAAGGGCCCAAACAACAAGGATGACACGTGAGACAGGTGGGACCGGACACATGGCAAGAGGCGCATGGGACAAAAGACACCAACGGTCGGAAGTGTACGAAAAGCTGATCGCATGATGTTATGCGCCTCGAACCTCTGACTGGAGTGTCAGGTGGTCGAGGCGCATGCGCAAGGGTTGTACGACGCATTTATGGAGGGCCTGACACAGGGCGAGAGCGACGGATACCGGTCGATCTCGCCCCGTGTATAAATAGTGAAGTAGGTAAACCTCATTTACTCAGTTTTTGCTTCTCTTACTAGAACTGTTCTCTACTTCTCTCTCTACAAACGAAGGGTTCTCACTTGGGCGTCGGAGTGCTAACGGACCTGCCCGGTCCACTAGGCGCTTGTGAGTGCAGGCAGGCGCGTGACAAGAGGCGTGTTAGAGATTGGAGCTCGGAGCAGAAGGACGAAGCCTTCCGGTCATAAACAATTGGCGCGCCAGATAGGGGCATATAACCAACAAGACGCATGAAGGATCTTGGGTCAGGTGAGAAGGAGGGTGGCATCGAACCGCAAGAGCGCGGGACGAAAGGGGCCAAGGTGGCGGAAGGCGCCCAACTCACAAAAGAAGAGTTGCTTCAAATCATCGAAAGTCAAGATCACGCACTTGAGATCTTGAAGAAAGAGGTCGAGGCGCTCAAGAAGGGCGGAGGCGACCTGCCCACGCCTGGGTCGAAGAGAAGGGAGCGAGATGAAGAGGGCGAAGGGGCGTCCAGCCTCGCGAGGCGCACGGAAGAACTTGGGCACTTGACCCGACACCAGGAATCTGACTATGATGACTACAACGATTGGGCGCAGAGGCGTGTCGGGAGAGGTTGGGGAGTTTGGCAGCCTTTGGCCAGGAGCATCCTTGCTGAGCAGCCAAGCTCAGTTATACCCGCCCTGCCAAGCTACGATGGTACGACGGACCCGGAACACCACCTGAACAATTACTTCACGAAGATGCAGTTATACAGCAGCACGGACTGAAAGTATGGAGGAATCACCTGGCCAGTGTGCTCCCCAATCGTGGGCTCCACAAAACTCGACGGCAGACCGGCCCCACTTGTAGTGGCGGTCTTTGCTTTCTTCCCCCGACCGTGCAAGGCACCACCCGCTCTCTTCCGAGATGCGGCGGAAGAAGGGGAAGGAGGAGTGCTCACCCCGACAATTTCCCGAGGCGTGTAGTTGGAGGATGGACTCGAATCAGATGAGGCGTGGCGCTCTGAGATCGGCGAGTCATGGCCTGCCGCCTCGCCTGCCGCACCAGCTGGTAAAGGAGAGGCGCCCCGCCCCGCCGATGAGGCGCCTGCGGTCGTTGCGACCCGTACCTTTTTGGCCTGCACTTTCTTCGGCCGAGGCGCCTAGTCAGTAGGGGCAGGGCGGACATCATTCACGTTCCGGAGAAGGTCGAGCTTCGACCTTATTAGATTGGTCACCGAGGTAAAGTAGGTCCCTGCAGCATACAAAAGAACAAAAGCGCATGAGAACAACAAACCACAACATCAGTGAGACGCAGAGGTAACAAAAAGGCGCATGGCTAATACCATCGCCATAGAACTCGGCGAGAACGCGAGCGTATTCGTCTATTGACTCGAGGTCAATAAGCTGAGCGGATATGCACTTAGCCATGGATTCCTCGGTCTGGCTAAGGGGCTCCACCTTGTTAAAGGCGAAGCGATTTCCCAGGGACCACATTGAGCTCATAGGGTGCCCGCTCTCAAAGAAAGGAACTTCGCGTGGTTTGACGAAGAAGAACGAGTCAAACCACGTGCGCCCCATCTTCACACAGCTGCTGATGAATCCGTACCCAAGCGCCGTGCGCCTTTGCAAACTCAAGCAGTTAGCACTCTTGGTCATTTTGAAAAAGTGTTTAAATAGTTTAAATGTGGGGGGAACGTGGTGTCTTTCGCACTGGTAGCGAAAAACAATGGTGTATAAGAAAACGGCAGGAGAGAGGCGCACAAGGGGGCAGTGGCAGGAGGCATGACGCCTTCGAGGACGGGCTCAATAGGGAAGCGCAGGCCAAACCGGATGAAATCCTGGTACAGGCCCACCCAGCCCTCGCCGCACAAGCCAATCCGAGCCTCTAGAGGCGCATGGATGTACCGCCAAGGCGTGGGGAAGTTGCGCGCACACGACGAGTTTTTCCAGCCGTGCCCCCAACTGTTTTGAGGCGTGATGTGGACCAACGTCTTCCGCGGGCATCCTCGAAGTGTCCTGGGGCGCATAGCCAGGAGGCCACATCGAGTCCCACGGCCGGAACATGTAGTTCTGGGGCACAGAGGCGCCTGAGTCAAAGGAAGGGGTAAGGGGTAAGGCAAAAAGGGGTGGAAAAGGAGGCGCAGCGCTCACGTAAAAAAAAGTAAAAGAGAGAAAATGGTGGAAAAGGTAGAGAGGTGTTTGGGGCGCATGAACCCTATGTTCGCATTGAGAGGAGGTTTCGAATCAGACGGGAAAGGGCAACATCAAAACAAGAGACAAGGCGCACGGCAGTAGAGGGACTTACTGGAAGCGGCAGGGGCGTTGGTGGCCTGGCCTTCGGCAAACGCCTGAGATCCAGAAGGCGCGGGAGATGAAAGAAGCGCATTCACAGTAGGAGGAGGGGATCCGCGGTTGGCGGCGGTCGGTTCAGTGGAAGGCGCAGGAGAGTTGGATGGGAGAGGGATTTGCCGAGAAGACGCCATAGCGAGCTTGAGGGCGCACGGGGCAGAGCGGTTCAGGAGCAGTTGAGAGGAGTGACGGCTAGAGAGAGGAAGTAGAGAGAGGATGATAGTGAGTTGTGAGGGTTGTGAAGGAGGAAGGGGGATTTATAAGGAGGGCTAGGCGAGAGGGAGAGAGAGAGAGAGAGAGAGAGGGAAGGCGAAGAGTCCTCACCAATCCGCTCCTGATTTCGAAATTTGAATTTTGAATGAAAAGCGGATTGGGGGGAGAGAGATAGGGGGAATCGCAGGAGGCACAACGACACAGAAAGAAAGGAATAAGTGGAACGGTCATAAAAAAAAAAGAGGAAAGAAAAATATATACATATAAATGTATAAATAGGAGGGAGAAAAGAATGTAGATAATAAAAAGAAAAAGTATACAAGGAAGAAGCAGGAAGAAAAAGCGTATGCATGACGAGTGCTCAGCGGTACGAGGAAAGAGGGCTCGCAGGTTGACTCGCACCGAGAGAGGCGCTGAACCCGAGGGTGCCATCGGGAGTGAACGAAGCACTAGAGAGAGCGCAAGGCGCGTGCTTAGCGAAGATAAGAGGATCGCTTAAGCCCCAATCAGGGAGGCGCGTAAAAGCAGGCAGTGACACGGAGAGGAGGACGAATGCAATTAGGCCCCTAACCGTGGGCGTTAGGCGCCTAACTGGGGGGCAATTGTTGGGGGAGTAAGTATGGGCCAGAGATCGACCCAAAAAGGGAAGGCCCAAAGAAGAGTGTTAGATGGGCACAGACTGGGGCCCAACTGGAGAAACCTAAAGAAGCCCAGGGGGCAAGAACCGTGGGCTGATAGGCACGCGCAGAAGGGCCCAAACGGCCAGGATGACGCGTGAGACAGGTGGGACCGGACACCTGGCAAGAGGCGCATGGGACAAAAGACACCAACGGTCGGAATTGTACGAAAAGCTGATCGCATGATGTCATGCGCCTCGAACCTCTGACTGGAGTGTCAGGTGGTCGAGGCGCATGCGCAAGGGTTGTACGACGCATTTATGGAGGGCCTGACACAGGGCGAGAGCGACGGATACCGGTCGATCTCGCCCAGTGTATAAATAGTGAAGTAGGTAAACCTCATTTACTCGGTTTTTGCTTCTCTTACTAGAACTGTTCTCTACTTCTCTCTCTACAAACGAAGGGTTCTCACTTGGGCGTCGGAGTGCTAACGGACCTGCCCGGTCCACTAGGCGCTTGTGAGTGCAAGCAGGCGCGTGACAAGAGGCGTGTTAGAGGTCGGAGCGCGGAGCGGAAGGAAGAAGGCTTCCGGGCATAAATAACATCCAAAGAGAATATTGCATTCATTATATTATTATTAGTAACTCTTACACAAAGACACTATTTTTCACTGTTAAAAAAACACTATTTTTCCTATGCACGCAACCTCAATTGCAACTCAATGCCTAAAACTCACCCTAGTTTTACTATAATTGTGCTAACTTAAGTGTGCAAATTATTAATTGTCAAACAAAGGAAAATAACAAAACAAACACACCCTAATAAGCCTCTCTCCTCCTACAAACTTGGCGTTTCTCTTTCTCTTTTTTCTCCACCGTCGTCACTCCCTTTATCCCTTTCTCTCTGTCGTCGGTGGTGTAAATTTGGTCATGTTGTCAGTTTGGGGAGGGGTACCTAGGATGAATTTAGTGCCTTCTCGCCCCCACCTAAACTCATCTTAGGTACACCTCTGATCAATAGTATATCAGCTCTTAGCCGACATTATATCAATTTAGGTCCAACCTCTTTTCAATGAGATTGCGGGCGATGATGGCGGTGGTGATGGAGAGAACATTGTATCTTAGGGGAACATATAGGGTGCTAACATCCTTTAGTGTTAGCACCATGCTAACATATTAATTCATTATGGTATTATGGTAACTACCCACTTATAGGCCATAGCAACTCCCTTCTCTATCCCTTGTGTTTGATAGACAAATTATAGTTTGATACTAAACTTAGTAGACGTTAGGATTTAGTACTTAAAAGTATTTTTTTGCAAATAAGTCCTAAAATATTGATGGAAAATTACATTTTAGTGCCTCAAATTTTATGTCTTACATTTTGATACCTACAATTTTTAAAATTTATAATTAGGTACAAATTGATGAGGTTTTTCGTTTGCTTTAAGAAACTTGTGTTAAGCTTTATGAGATTTCTGGTATGGTTTAAGAAATTTGTAGTGTGTTTTAATAAACTTGTAGTATGCTAAAATAAACTTGTGGTATGCTTTATAAAGTTTCTGCCTTTCTGGGTTGCTTAAAAAAATTTGTGTATGTTTTAATAAACTTGTGGTATGTTTTATGAGGTTTTGGTATATTTCAGGGAACTTGTGGCCAACTTTAATAAACTTGTGGTAAGTTAAAAAAAACTATTGTATGATTTATGAGGTTTCTGGTATGCTTCAAAGAGCATGTGGTCTGTTTTTTTTTTTTTAGAAGTGTTCTTTAAGAAACTTGTGATCTACTTTATGATTTTTCTGGTATGTTTCAAGGAAATTGTGGGGTAGTTTGATAAACTTGTGGTGTGTTTTAATGAATTTAGAGTCTACTAAATGACTTTTTTGGTATGTTTTAGGAAACTTGTGGTCTGCTTATAAACTTGTGGTATCTTTATGAGGATTTGTCGTGCTTCATTAAACTTATGGTCTGCTTTTAGGAATTTGCCGTTTCATATGCAAATTGTAGTTTGGTACTTAAACTTAACGAATTTTAAGATTTAGTACCAAAAGTTATGTTTTTGCATATAAGTCCAAAAATATTGATGGGGAAATTACATTTTATCACTTACAAATTTATGTCTTACATTTTGATACCTAAACTTATTAAAATTTACAGATAGGTTCACATGCGTGTCCCCCTAATTTTTTTATAATAACAAGCATGTCCTTGTTTTATAATTGTAGTAAACTCTTTGGAATAAAAAATGCATCAAATCAAAATGTTCTTATTGGTTGGAATTAATGTTAGTATGTTGCTAATAAAAAAGTGTTAGTACACTAAACCTTCGCGTTGTTTTAGTGTTGTTGGATTGTGATATTTTCCCCAAAAGTTGTTAGATTCTGTTTATTATCTCTTTAAAATGAAACTAGAAAAGAGTAAAAAAAACAAATAATATTGATTTTTGAATTAGTGTGGTTTATGTATAAATCTTGGGTCATTCGTAATATTAAAATTTTAGGTTGGTACAACTTGAAATTGCATTTTTTTTACGTGATGGTACAACTTTAGGTTGTAGCTATATTCTCTTGTATTATTCACTTTATACTACAAACTAAAGTTGTATATTAATGTTATGATACAACTTAAGGTAATGGTACAACTTCAATTTGTATTTTTAACATCATGGTACAATCTCAAATTATACTTTAAAGCAACGTTCAAAACAAATGTTAACTACAGATGGCAATCAAATCTCAAATTATTAGAAATGCAATTGAGTGGCCACCCAAATAAAAAACTAATTGTTTTTCCTCAACTCTCCCTTCACTTTTTCCCTTGTGTTAACAAGATTATGTTAGTTATTACTTAGTATATGCATCAGAGATTCAGAATTAGAGAATAATGATTTGGATTACGTTGTATTCTATCTTATGGATTAATGGATACATTTTAGGATTAGATGCTTTGACACGTATTAAGAATGATTGACTCTTTGTCGACTTCATGATATAGTAGGTGCTTTTGATGTTACAATTGAAAATTAATATGTATGATTTGAGGTATTATAATGTTAGATGTACGAGGAGGGTATTACCCATGGGTACCCGAAACCCAAGGGTATGGGGATGAGTTTGCAAAACCTTCCCCACATGTATATTGGGATGGGTATGGGTTTGGACAAACCCACCCCATTGGCATCCCTGGTGCTAACATTAAAATCAAGTAACAATGGTACAAAATTTAGCACACAATCTCTCATTTTATCATGGGGTTGTTTGGATTGAGTATTTGAAGGTGTTGTTTGGGATCAAATAATTTGGCTGACAAAAAATGGAGGGGTTATCTGGATGTGATTTTTGCCAAATAACATATTGGAGACCAAATTTTACCACATACTTGGCAGGGATATGTATTTGCCAAATTACATATTCTAGACCAAATATCATATACCCATAACAAATTTTATATTATGTGGTATTTGTTTGCTAATTGGCTCCAAATAACAAGTTTTTCAAATACTCAATCCAAACCATCATCATAGCTAAACGCATTTGTAAAAAAAATATAAATAAATAAATAAATAAAGCTAAACGCACAGTGGGCGATTAGTACGAGTATGCTACTCGCAATAGAATTCTCGGAATACACGCGCCCCTTCGCCCACTCTCTCCACAAAGGTTCAAATCAACCCATTCTCTTCGTCACTCTCAATTCCCTGTAACAGATTTCATCGCCCCCACTTTGACCTCATTCTCCCGTCCTTCAATGGCGTCGGCGCCGGCAGCAGCCCTGACCCGAGACCAGTATGTCTACTTGGCGAAGCTCGCTGAGCAAGCCGAGCGCTACGAGGAGATGGTGAGCTTCATGGAGAAGCTCGTCACGTCCTCCACCCCCGCCTCCGAGCTCTCCGTCGAGGAGCGGAATCTTCTCTCCGTCGCTTACAAGAACGTGATCGGCTCCCTCCGCGCCGCCTGGCGTATAGTGTCCTCGATCGAGCAGAAAGAGGAAGGCAGGAGGAACGACGAGCACGCTGTGCTCGTTAAGGACTACAGATCCAAAATCGAGACCGAGCTTTCAGCCGTCTGCGCCGGGATTCTGGCTATTCTCGACTCCAATTTGGTTCCCTCTGCCGTCGGCAGCGAGTCCAAGGTTTTCTACTTGAAGATGAAGGGGGATTACCATCGATACATGGCGGAGTTCAAAGTTGGAGATGAGAGGAAATCTGCCGCTGAGGATACTATGCTTGCTTACAAGGCTGCTCAGGTAAAATTGATCCCATAAGTTTCTTTTCTTCCGTATAATATCGGATTGATTTGTTTGGAGTTTACAGTTTCCGGCCAAATTTGAGATCCAATTGGGTTAACCGCCACCGTGAATTAGCATTTCGATTTGACTCTGAGAATTGCATGTTTGGCCTGCGAAGAGTGTTTTGAGTGATTTGTAAATGTGAATTTGGTTAAAAACTGTTCACAGATCACAGTAGTTATTTCGCTTTGATCCGATTGATCAATGAAATACTTGTCAACAGTCATTCTCACTGCTTCTTAATTTGGCTTTGTCTGAAGGATATTGCGCTAGCTGATCTTGCTCCAACCCACCCTATAAGGCTAGGGTTAGCGCTGAACTTCTCAGTGTTCTACTATGAGATCCTCAATTCATCAGAGAAAGCTTGTACCATGGCCAAACAGGTTTGCCCAAAATCACTGTTCCTTTTACAAGTTCCGCCATGTCGTCCGAAAATGCTTGGTCAACCATGCTTCTCCTCTTTTAAGATAGTCAACTTGGTCTTATTTTGCTTTGCATCTTCACTGTATACTTTATATCAAACGTGTGTTGGGTGATGTATGCATTCAACATGGTGTGTGAAAGTCTTGTACTTTACTGAGTTATGTTCTACACTTCTACCAGTGGGCTGAAAAGTAAATTTTGGCAGTCACCTGATCCAGCTGTCCTTATTCTCATTTCCATCAAAGTTTTGACTAGGACGAAAGTTAGTCAAAGATTGTACAGTGATAATAACTTTGTTGAAAGTCTGAAGGATCTGAGTAAAGAATAAAGATACATGACGGGGACCAACAAACAGATGTTTCCAGGTCGTAGTTAACCGTCTTTGTTGCATAGTACATGATACTTATTTCTTCATCCAAGCTGAACCCAATATGGGTGAGAGAGGGCCTGCGAGGTTTAAGAGAAGGGAATTCCAATATAAATGGTCCGGAAAAACAGTTTGCCACCTTTCTCCAGTCAACATAAGAATGAAACAGTTGGGTACTAATGTTGTATTCTTAAACTTTATATGCTGTTATCCAGTGACCGAAATGAGAATGAGATGTTCATTTGAATCTGGTTGAGTGATGTTGAAAAGGAAAAGATGAAAAGTTAGCGTTTTCCCCCCAGTTTGTCTGTCGAGTTCTTAGATTCTGGAAGCCCTTTTACTTTTAGGCGACTCATATGGGGTTCATTTAGAATTCACCTCTCCTATGGTTAGGCCTGGTATATCCAATGCTGTTAGGGGATGCAATCATCCATTGAAGTTAGAGTATCATTGGGAATATTATCTTTCTTGGGCCCATTCGCAAGATGATTAAGGACTTTTAGCCTCCTTAACGATGTCTAGTTAATGTAGAGAGAGATGAATTGCTGTGGAACTATATCTATGAAGAGGGACAATCATTATATACTTGAATTCTTCAAAGTGTTTATTGATTTTGAACTTGCTATATTGGTTGCCTGTTATTTCTTTCATTGGATTTGATTTGACTTATGGTTTTGTTTACTTCGTAAGAGTAGATTTAAAGTTGTTACTTTACTTTTTCATTTGAAGCCATCATCAGAATAAATGTTTCATCACCACAAGAGATGTTATCTTCAACTTTTGATTAATTTTCCTTTCTAAATGCGTGAATAAGATTCATGCTTGGTCGGTCTCTATGTTACAATTTCAGTTCACAAAATTGCTGCAACCCTTGCAATCTTACTGATATTAGTTAACAATTAGGGGACCTTTTGTGGACTTCTAAATCGTTAGACTATCAAGGAGAGTATTCATTTTTTCAACCATTTGTTTTACTAGAATGCCATAACAGATGCGGAATCACTTAAATCAACATGGTTGCCTTCAATGAGCTGAGTTTGCGTTATTAGAATCTCTCACTGATGCAAAGTCATCAGAGGAGAACTTTTTCTTCATGGTCTTGGTGTCTGGTTGTATCTAGGTGGCTTTTAGTGTTTGCTTCATATGAAAATGATGTGTCCTGAATTGCTCTTTGATCTCCTCAGGCTTTTGAGGAAGCCATTGCTGAACTGGATACATTGGGCGAGGAATCTTACAAGGACAGCACTCTCATTATGCAACTACTCCGAGATAACCTCACTCTCTGGACTTCAGATATGCAGGTTAGTGCTCTTACTTTTTGTTAGACGTAGAGATATGGCAGGGAATGGCAATACCTGTGATAGGAATTGGTTTAAGCTCTTAGCGATCATTTGAAAAATCAAAATACGGCACAAGCATCTGATTATGAGCTTCGTAGATTAGCATTACCAAGCTGCTTCCGTGTTGGGCATTATTTGTGCAGGAGCAGATAGATGAGGCATAGACTGGACTGGATTGCTTTCGCTGTGGGGTGATGGGTGGAACTAGAAATTCAATGGGGCTGTATACTCTCTCAAATATAACTTATATCTGTTAGCTGTGTACACTTTGCTTTTCTTTGTTGTGTTTTTCTAGCCGTTCTGTCAACTGCATATATCTCTCCTGTTGCTCTTAAGCTACTCACTTGGTGAGAAGCTCCCTTTGCGTCTCTTGCGAGTAGAAATTTGGATTGCCAGTTGATCGATCGATTGACTGAATTGGATTCCCTTATTTATGATGGTGTAAGTTTGTGTGTTTTCTTCTTTCTACATTATGTTTCTGCCTTTCTGGTAGCGCCTGTTTTTTCTGCGAACTCTCTTCTTATTCCTGTGAGGTGATCGTGCATAAGCGTGAAGCGACAGTGGGCTAGGGCCATCTCCAAGGTGCCCAAGAGCAACACTTTGGCACTCACTCCTATAGGTGTCAATCGGGCGGGTTCAGTCGGGTCGCGGGTTAATCGGGTTGCGGGTCAAACGGGTTGCGGGTTGCAGGTTGATCGGGTTTGGGTTGATGGGTTGCGGATCGGTCGGGTTACGGGTTGATCGGGTTGCGGATCAATTGGGTTCGGGTTGATCGGATTGCGGGTTACAACAGGTCGGGTTGCAGGTTGTTCGGTCCACTCCATCAAGTTTTTTTTATAATTAGTTATTACACTATTTTTTTTTAGGGAGTTATTACACTAATTTAAAACAAACTCACCGATCACCATATTGCAATGAATAAAACATGAATGTACATTATTAATGAATGACTAGATTTTGCTTGAATATATTATAAACAAGTTTAATGTTGCTAGTTGTTGGTACCTTGTAGAGGATTCATAAAGGTTACAGAACCAACATAAATAAATAGTTGAACAACAAGAAATTGAAAAGCTGACAAATTGTTTGATCATAAACCTGTGAAACCATCTCTTGAGTCTTGATAGTTGAGAGTTGAGACTGTACATGGGCGCTGGGCCGGCACGACACGGGCCCATCTTGTGCCCATATTTTTTGTGTCGTGCTAGGCACAGCCCATTAAATTTCGTGTCGTGCCATACAAGCCCATTTAACAGTTTTATTAGGCCCGGCCCGGGCCCAAGCACGAGTCAAGCCGTGTCGTGCTTGATCATGTCTATGTCGTGCTTTTATTTTGTTCACATTCGTGCTTATTCGTGCTTTCTAGTATAATTTAACTTTCATTCTTATTTTATATGGTAACACACGCTTTTAATATTCCTTAATCAACTTCATCTACAAATTATTAAGGGCTCGTTTAGAGAACAAGATTTGGATCATGGATTTATTGAATAAATAGATTTAGTAAAATGTTATGTTTTTTTGTTACTTTTTGTATCGTGGATTGTAGCTTCAGAGATTTTAAATCTCTAAAATCTAGAGATATCAAATCTCTCATAATTAGAGAGATTCTACATCTTGGTTTTGGAGATTTTCTTTCTCCTACTATATCTCTTCTTTTTTTCATTTATCCCACTAAATACCCTCACCAATAAATTCTCAATAGTTTTCGAGCAATCTAATTATTTTAGTTAAGGATAAACATATCATTTAATAAAAAATTGAATTTCTTTTTTCATTGGATGTTAGCAATCGTAGTTACCAAACAATGAACATTTTCAAATCTTTTTTCAACAATCCAGAGAGTTAAAATCTTTGGATTGTATAGAATCTATAGATTTAGACTCCAATTCTCCAAACGAGCCCTAACTTCCTGTAACTGTAATTAAATACTAATATCTAGCACTGCATTTTCGCGTAGCTAATTATAAACCGCTAGTCATATATCCACTATACATATATTAACATGCAAATTGAAAACACGAACTCTTTGTAACATGAGATTCTAACATTAATATGAATACAACCGATACAAATATCATTTCTGGATCAGTGGTAAATAACATACAATTTAAAAAAAAAAACTCATTGTTGTATGATGAAACTCAACCTAATGAGAACCAATTACAGATCTATGAGATAACATTTTCTTGCTCTGTAACTATAGTTTCCAGGTCTGCCTTTTCTTCATCGATTCCATAATTTTGCTTCCAATTGTCCTCTCAAAGCATTTAAGACCTTCAAGCCTTTCCCACCCTAAAAACATAATTCAAAGGAGTTCAAAGTTACTACTCTCTCTAGCAAACTCAACTGCTGAAGCAATCAGAAATAAATAAACCATTTACAAAGCACTACGAACACTTGTCCAGTCCCAAGAAGTCATGACATAACAGAGTAGAAGCACATCATAATAGCTCAACTAAAAACAACTTCATAGAAGCTCACAGCCCTCAAACTTCATCCTCACCCGTTACAACTATCCAAACCAAGCAATAAATGTATGGCGTTAGTGATTCCTGCAATTTCTTGTACAACCACCTACCTACCTTATATAGTTAATCAATTGCAACAACTTAGTAGTACACGACAGAGACTTGCCTCTACTGCCATATGAGGAATTGCAGAAAAGACTAAAATTTTCAGCACCAGTCTCCAAGCTGAACCTGGATCACAGCAAGGTTAAGTTAGGATATATACTGGACACTCAGAGTTCAATTAGAACACACATTAACCTACTGCTTCTGTTGCTGGTTGTTCTTGTGCTGCAGTTGATGCTTGCCATTTCCTCTACATGAGTACACCACACTATAAACAATTAACATCATACCACATCAGTTGGGTTCAAGTACTAAAATCATACCCTGCATTTCAGTTGTACTAATGAAGAAAATATTTCCAAACGAAGCCATTACAAGAAGAGCTCCCACTAATTGATGTAGAATAGAATGAACTTTCTGATATCCATGAGTAGAAAATAAATACGAGACCCATAAGGTCACCATTGTCTACCAGCAATAATTGAGGGATGAAGCCAACGACATGGGATCTGAGCTAGGCAACACCACTTTGGAAAAATGTTGTAGCAAAGGATGGAGGAGGAATGAAGAAACTCGCAAGCCTGGCCAATTGATGTTGCCGGAAGAAAAAGAGAGGATGGTATTGAGGTTAGGGTTGCGGATGGCGGAATAGAAGATGACAGTAGAGGCGCGATAGCGGTGGAGAGACAGAGGAAAGCTGTTTAACCATTTTGAAGCAGACATAGATTGCTGAATGGGTATCCATTGATTCGAGCAAATAGAGGATTGAAGAATCTACCCAGATATGCCGCCACCGCCTCAGTCCAATTGGTCGTCGTTGGTTAGGGAAACTGGGCCGAGGCCCCATATTTCTCCTTTCGCATGATCGCATTTCTTCAATCGCGCAATGTACTCTATCAAGTGAGAATATAGAAGTTTTCAGGGAGTGATGGTTGTGGTGGTGGATTTAGAATTAGGGTTTGTTTTCTGGAAAATGGGAGGGAGGGGAAGAACAGAGTAGGAATGGCTTGTGGTATGAAGACTCGGAGTGATAAGGATTAGAATTTAGGAAGGAAAGATGGAACCATAAAGAAAAGAGGGGGAGATTTTGGAGCCAGAAAAGAGTTAGTTCTTCTCAAAATAATTGGGAATGGCGGGTTGATTTTTGCTGTTGGCAGGATTTCTTAGACAAAGCAAATTTTTGGAGCAAAGCAATTTTTGGAGCCAAATCAAATTTTTGAGTGAAAGGAAATTCTCCCTCCTAAAATTTTGGAAGAATATTTTGTAAATGGTAAATTGACAGATTATTTACGGGAATTAACCGTGACTAACAATTGGTCATTTAAATTGTACAAATCTTTCACGTTTGGACCAAATTTTGGGGGTTAAAAATGATTGTTTCCTCAAATATTTGGGGTTTATAAAATCAAATTAAGATGTACATTTGAATATGATATATTTAAGATGTACATTCACAAGTTAAATTAATTTTTAAAATCAAATTAATTAGTAAACTATATAAAAAACAAAATATCTATCACAAAGCATAACCATGAAGAAACCCTAACCCTATAACACCATTTTAAATCTGAAATCTAAAACTAACCTTAACCATCAACATACATTATCCTAAATCACAACATTAAGTAATTAACCCTAAAACTAACCTCAACCCTTAACCATAATTCCATAACCCAAACATGCAAACAATGAACTCTAAACCATGACCCTATACGGCTATACTCTATACTATAGTTATATGTTATGAAATTGTTGGAATAAGCTACAACGTATGTTATGTGAAGAATGTAAGTTGAGTCAATTTTATATTTGGTTATTGAGAAGAACATATGTCCTATTACTCCAAACTCTAAACCACGAGTCCAATACCGTATACCCTATGCACTAACCTTAAACCATGAACTATAGTTATGTATTATGAAATTGTTGGTTATTGAGAAGAACATATGTCCTACGACTCCAAACGTTTAATATCCGTATTTAATGAAATGAATTATTAACTTTACTATTTTTACATATTGATTTATTTATAAAAGTAATTAGTTTTATATATTTATAACTATTAACGTACTATTAAACGTAACATTACCTAAGAGACCAAGTATAATACCCGTAAGTATTTTATACGTAACTTTCTCGTACCATATTTTACTAACTATGCTATACATTAAGTGAATTTTATGTATTATTAACTTTACTATTTTTACATATTGATTTATTTATAAAAATAATTAATTTTATATATTAATTACTATTAACGTACTATTAAACGTAGCATTACCTAAGAGATGAAGTATAATACCCGTAAGTATTTTATACGTAACTTTCTCGTACCATATTTTACTAACTATGTTATACATTAAGTGAATTTTATGTATAAGTTGACATAAAAAACATGTTGTACCATATTTTACTAACTATGTTATACATTAAGTGAATTTTATGTATAAGTTGACATACAAAAACATGTTAAAAAATGTCTCTACTAGGCTTTGAACCATGTCCCTCAAATGGGAAAGACTAGCACATAAGCCAGCTAATCACGTAATTGATTTGTTACAATTTGAACTTGTTGTTTATTTGATTCAACTAAAAGGCAGAGAGACCAGAAAGTATTATGTGATTCAATTTACCGAGACAGTGAGACTATTATGTGATTCAATGACAGTTGTCATTTGTCAACAAAAAGTAAACCTTTGTTCTTGGTGGGAAAGATGAAAAAATAATAGGGCAAGTCAAGTAAACTTTATATATATTATTTACATATAATATTTATGCACAACAATTTATTATGTAGTATTATTCGTGCCAATCAGGCGGGTTCGGGTTGGGTTAATTGGGTTCGGGTTAGTCGGGTTACGGGCCAAGCGGGTTGCGGGCCAAGCGGGCGGGTTGCGGGTCAAGCGGGTTGCGGATCGGGCGGGTTGCGGGTCTTTCACTTTTAATCCAATCGGGTTGCGGGCGGGTCGCGGATCGGGTTGGTTGGGCGAGTTACTCGGGTCGGGTCATGTTTTGACACCTATACTCACTCCACTCCAACCATGGGTGCTAACTTTGGCTTGTTTGATTGCCTAGTCTAGCACACAAACAGAGAAAAAGAGCTAGATCAGTCGGTCCCAACCAGACCCTGCCAGAACAGAGAAAAAGAGTTAGATCCGTAGGGGATTACCTGATCTGAATCGTGACCCCGCCCACCGTGCTTTGTTCTTGGCTCATTCTATCTTAATTTCTTACAATAATAATTCATATTTGTCCTATTTTGAATTTTTTCTACTAATTAGACTTAATCTTTCAACTAGTTAGACTCAATTACTCATTCTATTATCACTATTTTTCATTCATAAAATGTTTTTTCTTCGTTTTATCGTAAAAAATCATATTCCAAATGTATTTTTTCAAATGACATATTAGAGTGGGTCTACCTGTCTTGCCTCGTACCCGAGCATTACTACTTGCCCCAACTCGTGTTTGGTACAAGGCGAGTATGGGTATTGAAAGTCTTGCTTTTTAGCACTTTATTGAATCAAGAATCACTTTGTAGACGGCATAAGACACAAAGTCTAACACCTTGATACTACCATTGAAGATAGCATAAGACCATCTCCGATAAGGAGATCCAAAGTTAAAAAAATTGGGGCTATGCTTGTATAAGCCAACCATCCTTCGTCTTTGATGATTCCTTGAAACTCAGCCGCTCCATTTAAGGGTGGGCACGGGACGGGACCCGTCCCGTTTGAAAAGGGTACCAGTCCCATTTGAAGAACAATTTCCATCCCATATCCCAAATCCGTACGGGTTAACGAGTACCCATTACCCGTACGGGACGGATAACGAGTACTCATACTACCTGTAAATACCAGTATACTAGAGCTAGCAAATCTTCCGCGCCTACACTCTCGCCAGCCCACCTCAACATCCTCGACATCAGTCCAG